CTCTCTCTCTCTCTCTCTCTCTCTCTCTCTCTCTCTCTCTCTCTCTCTCTCTCTCTCTCTCTCTCTCTCTCTCTCTCTCTCTCTCTATCTTCTCCTCTTCTTCTCCCTCTCCTCGCTTCTTGTTTTAACTTTAAACTCTTAAGACACTTTCTTAAGCCGAGTGTGCAGCGGTGAAACCCAGCAACAATGTCATGAGGGAACGGTTCCTGGCTTCTTTTCTCCTCCGCTTCTTCCTATCCTATTTTTTTTCCCCTTCAAGGTCAGTGCTGGCTGTCTGTCATTCGCTGACCTTCACTGTTTTTTTCCCCCCCCAAAGGGCGACAGCCGTGATATATTATCATGGAACTGACCGTCCATCCCAAGGTAATTCAGAATTACCGTAGTAAGTATTTCCCTCATCTGCTTCCAATGGAGTTCGAATCGTCGTTCGAACTCACTCGGGTCTGTAGTTAAACAGTTCAGGAGGTGTACCAGCTGAGCTAGGCCTGTGTTGGTCGTCAAGCTTTTCTATGCTTTGTCTTTCCCTAACCAAAGTTGTGCCTGCGCTTTTTTCTGGACTCCGAAAATCTGTGATCGTGTGTGTGATCCCTTGCCTCTGTCCTTCCCTGACCGAACGGTCTCTGAAGGTGCAAGGCAGCTCTCGGTTCCCGTCAACAAAAGCAAAAACAAGACAGAAGTGCAAGGATGCTGAACATGCCGCTGAAGTTCCTCACAGTTGGTGAAGATTCGCTCCAGAAGAGAGAGTATGCTTGCGCGCGTGCGAATGGTTTGTCTGCTTTCCAAAGAGGGATTTTTTTTTGTTGAAATACCCCTAAAAGTTTGGGTATGTTGTTAGATACCCCTAAAACACAGGGGTGTGATGAAATGCCCCAAACTTTCGCATCTGCCCCTGTCCCGAGCATGTGCAACTTTGCAATATGCCCCTCGCCCTGGGCTGCAGGGGCCAGTGCATTTCTTTTGCCATCTGCAGGGTCCAACAGCCGAAAATGCAGGGGCATATAGGCACGTTGTCGAGGGCCCGGTAGGGGTCTATGCAAAAGTTGACAGGTCCGATTGGCAAGTGGGGTATTTCGCAAAGTTTCGCAACTGTCATATGGGCAATTCGCCATACCCATGCCTTTTTCAGGGGTATCTGCCGAAAAATACCCCAACTTTCAGGGGCATTTCAACAAAAATTTGCCCTTCCAAAAACTCCATTACCACAAAAGTGCAAAAAGACTTGATGCAGACAATGGAAACAGAACTGGGGCACATAACATTCAGCGCCCAGATGCGGGAATGAAACACTCACAAATCGAAAATTAGAAAGTGAAGATATCATGATAGTGATCACACTTCCTTCTTAGACAAGGGCAAGTGGAGGCATGGGGTGGTGGGTTCCAACCTAGGCGACCAGCCGGGCCGCCCGGGTCACCTTATTTTCCCGGGCGGCCCGGCCGTGCAAGGACCAGTGAAGGTCCAGCCCAAAAAAAAAAAAAAAAAAAAAAAAAACGAAAAAAAACTATGTTATGCAGAAAAATAAACTGAACAACTTTTGCCTCAGGTCGCATGGAAATTCTTTACCACATTTAAAATAAAAATTTTAATTAAAAACTAATGTTTTTTATTTTTTATTTTTTATCTTTTGGCCCGGCCGGGCAAGTGGACCCGGGCCACTTTGGTAGCCCAGGTTCCAACTTTATTTTGATGAATTTCTTCACCTTTGGTGTCCACGTTCGGAATTACTGTCAGATTGGAGTGGACGTTGAGGATCTTGGGCGTGTATTGAAGAGGGACCCGTTGGCAGTTGCCCGGCGGTACTATGCTCCAGCTGAAGTCCGAGCTCTCGAGATAATCCCAGATGAAGCTAAGAGGCAGCGCTGGTTCATGGAGCTGTGGACGCTGAAGGTAAGAGAGGGCGGAGTACCGATTTGCTTTGCCGAGTGTTCTGTTCTTTTGATGGTTATGCCGCACCACCCGAACCCAGACCTTGGCCAGCTGTATCTGGACTGCAAATTGCATCAAATACGGCTATATTGACCGGGCGTTGCACCTGCTGCTGTTAACGTCAATGTCTTCGCTCTGCAAACAAACGAAGCGCCTAACCCACCCGAGTTGGCTAGCTCATGATCCTAGCCTCTTCACCCTAATAGAACGCCCGCCACCCGGTCCTTATAGCCATATTTGATGCAATTTTTCAGTCCAGATTCAGCTATAATGACCGTCCGGCGTCCGCTCTATTCGGGTGAAGACGGTAGCCTCTACTCGAGTATCTGGTTTGCAGCCACCTCCTCTTCGTCCGACACGATGGGACACGATCTCGATGGAGAATTCCATCCGTCGCTGGCTACTCATGCCTCCATTCCAGACTCTTGATGTGTGATTTCAAAACCCATGTATGCATTGTATGGACCATTCTCTGTGGAACAATCTGTCTTTTTTTCTGTACTTCATAAAAGTCTTCATTCTTATTTCCGTTGGCATTCTTGAATTCGTCACTCAGGTCTTAGGTTGAAAAAAAAAAAAAAAAGAATTTGTCACTTTTGTTGCTGTGACAAGCGCTGTCCTGTTCTAGTGGTCCCTGCTGTTCTCTTATCTGTGGCCTTCCTCTCCTCCTTTTTTTTGGGGCTTTTTTTTTGGGCTTTTTTTGGTTTGTTAAAACTTTGTTTTGTTTGTAAATTTGGACCATATCTGGATGGGAAAATTTTTGAAATGCGCCTCAGAAAACCATTTATTTGCGGTATGCCCCACTGACGGCTGACTTAACCGGTCGCGCCCCTCTGACAACGACTGAAGTTTGCGAAAAAGGACTGACATCGTTTGGGCCTGAAAATATTCAAAATTCAAATATGCCCCTATTTCCGAATTTCCTGTATGCCGCGGTAGCTCCCGACCTAGGGGCAGGGGAACGGCGGCGAGTGCCACCAACTGCCACAGGGGCATGCTGGAAAGTTGCACCCCGCACTGACAGGGCCTGCAGGAAACTTCAGAGGCCCCAGGGGGCACGACAAGGTAAGTCGGCCGTCGGAGGGGCATACCGCAAATAAATGGAAGTCGGAAGGGCACTTCAAAAATATTCCCTTTCCGGATTGATGTGTGTCATCCTTGCCCAGAGGCCATTTGCTAATTTACCCTTCTCTGTGCAGGGGCCAATTTTAACGGATGTCCCGAAGGACTGCCTTTCTCTCCTCCTACCTGTTACGCTCATCCTCCCTCGTTTGTGTGAATGGAGCTTCGCTGGCCTGTCCTGCATTCGACGCTATCCCCCTTTCAAAAAAAAAAAAAGGAAAAGAAAAAGGGAGCGAACTTGCTTGCTAGTTCCGCATGAGGAAAAGAGAAATATTGACTGTGTGCAGTATATTGTACTTGCCTTTTCTTTCTGGGTGCCCTTTGTGCAGGAATCATTCGTCAAAGCACTCGGGTTGGGTATTGCCGCAGTTCCACTCAAGGAATTCTCCTTCTGTCGTGACGAGGACGAAGCAAACAAGTCCGAAGAGGTGAGGGTGGCTTTTTCTGTGCTCTCTTTTCATTCCAGTAATAGGCATTCCCTTTGCTGCTCATGGGGGGGGTATAAGGGGGGTATAGGAGGGG